AAAATTATTGATGTGATATAAAATATTATTTTATTGAAGAATGTATGATTAAAAATGAGAATAGATTTACTGTAGAATTTGAGAATAATAAAAAACATCGGGCTACCCCTCCATCCGTCCCTGAGTACTATTATAGTACCTTGGAATATATAGGAACAAATGCCAAAGCATTAGGTTAATGTCATTCCATCTAGTCATAAGATTTTTTTATGTAATTGACAAACCCTTGATAATTAAGGTGTCGGTTTGTTAATTGACAAATAAACGAGCAACAAGCACTCTCAAAGGAAATTGAAAGTCCTTTTCAACGAAAAAATTTAAACAAAAATAAAAATCCCTTTTCAAAAACTCAGCAAAAGCATGAGTTAATAACCATTAGTAACTCATATGCCATGGAATCGGACGGATTTGAACACGTCGACTTGCAATCTGAGCTTTCCGCAAAGAGATCGAGCGAGTTTAAATCGTTTTACTTGTTTTTACACCATTATATTAACACAATACTTGTTTTCTAATTGAATAGGGTTTGAATAGTCCTTTAGAATTTCGTAACTTTTCAATACCAACCAATAATCTAGATTGTAATTGTAAAAAGAAAATTTAGTCGTAGATTACATCATAGATTACTATAACGATGGACGAGAATTTAGTCGCACACGAAAGTGAAACTCTTTGGATTTTTATTTTTATTTTTTGTCTTCGCTTATTGCTATTTTATTGTACTTGGTGGTATATAATGAGGATTTCTAAATCTCAACATACCAAACAAGCAATAAGTAATATATTTTATTCATCTTTCTCCTTTGAGCATGTGCACTCTTATTTAAAGCTTTTTTGATAGGATTTTTAAAGAAAAAATGATTTTTCTTTTTTTTTTTATATAGAATATGTGGTGACAAAAATATTATTATTGCTTAAACAAACAATACTTCAGCTCATGTTTTAAGTGATCAATTGTTTAAACTACGTTGTATATCGAAGTTATTGCAGAATGTACAACATTATGTGCTTATCCCTCATGGCTTCCTAAGATCTCGGGGCTAGCACGAATTGCTGCTTATGTGTGATAGGCAAAGCTCGACACATGAAGAAATAATTTAGCTTATGGACACATCCAAATTCTCTTGGGGGAAGCCATGGGTTGATTTTGTCTCAGCATAGCACGACCAATCTTTTTTTTTTTTTAGACAAGCCGAGTCATATTTAGACATTTTTGAAGCACTAGATTGATTGGCCTCTAAGTTAACGAGGATGCGATTGGCATTATTTTAAAGATCTGGGGACTAAATCTTCAGATTTCCTTAACAAAAAAATAATTCAGAAGGGGCATAATCAGAGGCGGCCCTGAGGATGCGTGAATTGAGCGACCGCACGGGGCCTTATTAGTATAGGGGCACCAATTTATTTATTTATTTTTTGTTATTTGTGTGTGTGTATATATGTATAATTATATATTTAAAATATTTATTAATTTTGAAATTTAAAATTTTAATTATTATGTTATATTAAAGGGCACAATTAAAGGTTAGACATATGATGATTTTTATTTAACATTATTGTATTTCTTATTCTTAATTATAAATCATATCTAGACATTTTTATTAAAGCAAGGGAAATGATTCAAATGGTTTAGGCTCCTTCATAGCTAATTTCAGTGTGTTGTGTTTAACTATTTTCATTTGTGGATTATTTCTTTATTAATTGTATGCATTTGATTAGGTATCATATGCAATTGCATAAGATACTAAAACTAAGAATAATGTAATTGATTAGTTATAATTTTCTTAAATAGTATCCTATTTTAAATAATGTCAAGGAAAAGGAAAAATAGGAAAAAATATTATTCGTATGAAGAAACATTTTGATGAAAATGCCACGGTAAACGACACACAATCATTTGAAGATTCTTTCATAACTAATTATTTACTTTATATAGTAGATCAATCAATTGGATCACTTGACCGAAGGTTCGATCAATTCAATTCATATGGAAAAAAATTTTGGATTTCTATTTTTTTTTTTTGACAAGTTAAACACATTAGATGATGTTGATTTGAAAGAATGCCGTGATCATCTTGATATTTTTCTAAGACATGTAAATTTTTGTGATCTTGATGGCAAATATTTGCTTCAAGAGTTAAAATTTTTTTGAAATCTTTTAGCAAAAGAAACAAAAACAGTTTTTGATATATTTAATTTATTTGAAATACTAAAAGAAACAAAAGACAACTTTTGATATATTGACTTATTTGAAAAGATTGGATTGTTTTTCGAATACATTTATTGTTTATAGAGTATTACTGGAAATTAATGTTATTGTTACATCTACCGAAAGAAATTTTTCAAAATTGAAATTATTAAAATCTTATTTACGATCAATTATGTTATAAGAATGATTGAATGACCTAGTTTTGGTATCTATTGAACTAGATTTGTTAGAAACGAAAGTTTAATTAATTAGTTTGCTTCTAGAAATACGAAAATAAATATTTTTACATTATTTGTTGTATTTCAAAGTTTACACGTGGTATTTGATGTTTCTTATTTCAAGGTTTTCTCATATGGAATTACACGAAAAGTTTAGGGGCTTGGATGGTTCTTTATTGATGATATGAATTTTGATGAATCTTGGAAGGTATTTTTGAACTTTATTTGTATTTTTCTTATTCACGACATATAAAAAAATAGAAAGTATTTAAATATCATAATTTTGCGATATAATATTATTGAAATATATTTTTAAATTTCATGAAAGGGGCACCATTTTAACATTTCGTACATGGCATCCAAAATTTCAGGACCGACCCTAGGCATAATGAAATGATGATTTGTCTCATTTCTCACAAAACCATTAAGATTGATGACTATAAGTACAATTATAATGTGGTGTAATTAATAAAAACTATACAGTAGTGTTTTCAATTGAGATTGTGATGCATTTTTAAAGTCATTCTACATTTAGGCATTTCCAATTGAGAAATGAAATACATTAAAAACTAAGCCGTGTGTGTGTGGAGAGAGAGAGAGAGAGAGAGAGAGGATATGTACATATACTATGAATATACAGAGAGGGAAGATTAATAAATTTAATCAATATTCACCCAACTTTACTTCACATTAATACTTGCTCACCGATCAATAAAATATAACTCGTTGTCCACCCATCTATCGAATTGCTTACTTGTTCATCACTCGTCTGATCTCCATCACTCTCAACTAACGGAATGTGCCACGTGACGAACGAAAATGCGATATAACACATCATACGCGTGAAATCAGGCAGAATGGGCCAAAAGTTCAAAAAGCTATAACAATTCAAACCGCACCTTCATCTTTTCCCTCTACTTCATCCGATACATCCAGGAACCTTCTTAACCTTCATCTTCTCCCTCCATTTCTCAGACCCTGAACACGTGTGCAACATGATAACACATGCAGACGTTGGTTTAGGATCAGTGCAGTCCATCATCTTTTCCCTCCATTAAAGAGAGACCGTAGCACTGCTTAGTCCGTAATGTGCATGCCCATTAATCAATGTAGTCCAAGCTACCACATTGGGAGAAGAAACACAGCTAAATGATGCCTGGAGCATCTTCAATGCTCCACATTTTGCATACATGTTTATAACAGCAGTGCCAACGTACACATGGGCATATTTTATTTCGAACTTCTGCATTGAAATTCAAGATTTCAGCTGGGATTTTGGGGACGATTTTTAGGGTTCTTCACGGATTTGGGGACGAATTTGGGTTTGGATTTGGAGACGAACATGGGTACATTTCCTTATGCACCCGACAAGTTAAGCATAGGTGAAGTAACGGCTCTTCTAGATGTGGAAGCTACGACAACCGCGTCTCACACAGTATGTGAGTTTTGTTCCTTCGCTTACCAAAACTTCATGTTCCCTTACTCTGTTGATAATAGCAAATTTCAACATCAATATTAACTACAGAGCATATACATAGTATTCATTTGTGTTGAAGAAAAACTGAATTAGAGAAAATACCAAGAACAAATTGAAGATGGATGTTCAAGATTTAAAGTTGTTTGCTTGGGGCAACATAAAAAACATGTTATTTTATAAAATGAGGCTTTTTGCTCTTTTGGCCCATTTGACCTGATTTCTCGTGTGTGATGTGTCACGTTGAATTTTCATTTGCTACGTGACACATTCCGTTAATTGAGGGTGACGGAGATTAGATGAGTGATGAACGGATAAGCAATTACATAGATGAGTGATTAACATATTATTCTTTATTGTTCGGCGAGTAAGTAGTAATGTAAAATAAATTTGAACGAGTATTGACTAAATTTACTTAGGAATGACAATTGGGCGGGTATGGGACTGGTCGGCCATTCCCACCATCGTTCCATCGAATATTTTTGTTACCCTCCCTCATCCCCATACCCGTTTAAAGCGGGGACGGGACATGTTTGAGGCGGGGTATCGCCCCATTTAGATTTAGTTATTGTTTGCTTTTATTTTTTTTATATCTTTACTTAGTAAATATTATTATTTTTATCAATTTGTTAGAAACAATTTATGTTCTTTTCAAAAATATGATAAATTTATTATTTTTTTGATAAAAAAATTAAATTTAAAATTAACTTTAAACGGGACGGGTAGCGACTGACAATGATTCCCGTACCCGCCCCATACCCGATTCAGGACAATAACTCTCGTCCCGTCCTCGCCCCATTTGAGTTGAACGAATATTTTTGCCATCCGTAAATTTACTTGAGCGAAATATGTATAGCCCGTTTGATAAATATTTAAATCTTGATTTTTATCAAAATTAAAATCAGTATTTTTATACAAAATACAAAGACCGAAGGACAACGACACGTACGAATACGGGCCATACGGCTACCATCTATATTACAGCTGGCCGCCTCTGCTATTTGTCTCTCATCACCTTCATCACTGCCAACAAATCAAGCACATCTTTCAAACTGTTTTCAAATTCTCCAAATATCTTTTTTTTTTTCTTGAAGTTCAAATGGGCTCATCATTTTCATTCTTGATTTCACAAGAAAATTATCTGGCAGCCCCTTCGCCGGTGCCGGGACTCGGGGATTTGCCGGAAAGCTGTGCGGCGTCGGTTCTTGTGTACTTAGACCCACCGGAGATATGTAAACTTGCAATACTGAATAAGGCTTTTAATGGGGCCTCTTCTGCGGATTCTGTGTGGGAGTCTAAATTACCTAAGAACTATGGGTCTGTAATTCAAAGGGTTTTTGGGGAGAGTGATGTTTTTTCTAAAGATTTGCGTAAAAGAGATATATATTCCAGGCTTTGTCGACCCAATTCTTTTGATGGGGGAACAAAGGTATAATCTCATCTTTTTTTTCCTCTTTTAAATTTTTTGGTATTTAGATTTCTATTCATAAAATTGCATATAATATTGTCTGTGATGCTTGTGTTCTGGTGAATAATTGGTTTTGATTTTTTTGCAAAAAATTAAATAAAAAAATGGGAAAATCCATATAAAGATTACTTCGCAGAAAGTTTCTTATGGATTTTTTGTCATTTTATATTTGTGAGATATTGGGTCGAAAAGATTTTTGTTTCAATGGTTTCACGTGCAAATCGAGTTAGGAAATGACATTTAAGGAATTATGGAAATTTGTTTTTTAATTCTTGATGAAATTTCTAGGAAAAAAAATTGTAATTTTAATTTTCAATGTTGGTTTTGTGTGCTTTGGCTTGAAAGAAGCTAAAAGAAAAGATGTGAATATTGATTGAATGTGTTGATGGGGATTGTTGAATTTGATTTTGTGCAGAAAGTCTGGTTAGATAAGAGAACTGGAAAGACTTGTATGTCAATATCTTCGAATGGGTTGGCAATTACAGGGATTGATGATCGGAGATACTGGAGTCGGATTCCGACCGAGGAATCGAGGTGAGGTTCAATACTCTGCATATTCTTCTGTAAGTTAAGATGAAATTGGAATTAGTTATTTGGGGGTGATTGGAATTGGAATCGGTTGTGTTGGTCCAGGCGCTTCCACTACCACTAGGTGTCACCGGCAATTTTGTCCGGATTTGAGTGAGCTTGTGAAATTGGATTCCGACTGATGATTCGAGGTGAGGTTCAATACTCTGCATATATTTCATTAAGTTAAGATGAAATTGGAATTGGTTATTTGTTGATGCATATGGTTTTAGATTGGCTGATCAAATCCAACGATTTCTGGGCATTTTTCGATGAGATCTTTCGAAGAAAAATGTTATTTACTGTTCATTTTCTTTCCACAGTTTTGTGATGCTCTGTTTCTGATGTTTTTGTTATCAATGTGTTGTGGTTATGTGTATGTTTTGTTGGAATCTTAACTATAAGGAAGCCTTCATTGAATTTTAGAATCTATAATTTAGGTTGAGGAATTGACACATTATATGAAAGGACTGACTGGTTTTGATTGAGTGCTTCTATATATTTGTCAATCTTGAGTTTTTATCAGGGAACTAATCTTCATGTAGCATAGCTCTCTTTCATCTTGAGATTGTCTTCTTTGTTCGTTTTAAGACGTGACATTTCTCTTTCAAGAAGTGAGAATGTACATCAACAAGGGCAGGCAACATTGATTGAGGATAAATTGAGACGAGGACGGCTTAGGCTTCAAATTTATTTGAAATAAAGTTTAGTTTGTTCTTTTGTTATTGTGTTGTTGACTATCGTGTGAAATTATTGAATGAAGATAAATTTGATATTTGGATACTGGGAGCAATGCATGCTATTTGGAAATTTCATCTAAATATTTATGCCTTTTCCTTCAGCCTTTTTCCACTGATAATTTTGTAGTAATGCATCATATTGTACCAAACTAGTAATTCATGTGGAAAATAATCTTAATCCCAACTATCTGTTCCATTCAGGTTCCACTCTGTTGCATATCTGCAGCAAATCTGGTGGCTTGAAGTGGATGGCGAGGTCGAGTTTCCATTCCCTGCAGGGTCCTATAGCCTGTTTTTCCGACTGCAACTGGGACGTGCATATAAGAGGTTCGGCCAAAGACTTTGCAACTCCGAACATGTTCATGGTTGGGATATAAAGCCAGTGCAATTCAAACTCTCAACTTCAGATGGACAGCAAGCGACATCCCAGGTTTACTTGAAAGAACTTGGAAAATGGATTTACTATCATGCCGGGGATTTTTTTGTTGCGGATTCCAGCAAATCGACTAAAGTTAAATTTTCAATGACACAAATCGATTGCACACACACTAAAGGTGGTCTTTGTGTAGATTCTGTAATAGTGTATCCTAGTGAGTTTAGAAAGAGGTTGCAGCGTTTTTAATTGCAGTAAACCTTCTTGATCGGATGTAGTATTCCATAGATGTAGGGGTTATAGACTAGTTGAAACTGGAGTTCTTTGTGCTGAATATATAATGTACATTGGTTATAATCGAGTCGTCAACCTTAGTGAAACTCTGCTCTCACTTTTGTGTTTGTTGGGATTCAGTCCTTTGAAATTATGTCTGGTATCCAGCTCATTTAGACAAAGATTGTCTAAAGCTTAAACGGGATGAAGGAAAGAATTCGTTTGTTGCTCAGTCTAGTATTGTTTGGTTAATTGTACTAAACATGTCCCCATCAGGGTTGGGTAAAATAACATATCTAATGATGCTTTGTAGAGAGTCATGCCTGGGATTAGTGGTGGCAAATGAGCCGAGCGGCTCGTCGGCTCGCCCGCTCGGCTCGTACTGTTCCCGCCCACGAGCCGCTCGGGCACGTAAAATTGTCTGGTATCCAGCTCATTTAGACAAAGGTTGTCTAAAGCTGAAACGGGATGAAGGAAAGAAGTCGTTTGTTGCTCAGTCTAGTATTGTTTGGTTAATTGTACTAAACATGTCCCCATCAGGGTTGGGTAAAATAACATATCTAATGATGCTTTGTAGAGAGTCATGCCTGGGATGGACCTATAAAGGGTGGCGTTAGGACGGTCCATTTTCTGAATTTGAATAGTAGTATTTTTAAGTTTCGTGTAATTGGTTAATAATTAATTGGTGAGATTGATATTTACGAGACCAGACTTTTTGTAGAGGAGCTAGGGGGTCTAGTACTCTAGTTGTACTTGTAATACTTTCTACCATCATGTTATGCTGTCATTGATACTCTCAATGACAGTACACTCACAATAAGGAAACTGGGGAGATTTTTTGCCATTTTTTATTCCTGCAAGTTTCACGCGTCTATATGAGTGTAAGTCAACCAAGTATGCAATTTTTTTTTTCCTGATCTGAAAAAGAGGTCAGAAGGCCACATTCATGTTCTTGAAGTCACGTGATGCATATTGATTTGATATATTACTTTTCATAATAGAATTTGTCTGATAAACTCGCAAACTATGTGCTTGTTTGGTAGGGATTCTCATTTTCTATAATAAATCAATTCTTATTTTTAACCACATATTCTTCAATAAAATAATATTTTCCATCACATCAATAATTTTTTCTTCTTTTTCAATCACACATTTTCCATCATATCACTATTCAAAATCAATTCTTCCCCCAAATAATTCCTACCAAACAAGTTCTATATTGGACAGTACTGAAAATCAATACCACGCATTCCATCATTAAAGTAAATTAAAAAAAATCAGTCACTACTAATGTCTCATCTTATATAGGTGATTCAAGCATTTGAGTTTCATATATTTTAAACTCAGAAAAGTTAAATGTAAAATCTAAATTTTCTAGAATTAACTAAAAGTAAAGTTCAACCCAACATAATTTGAGACGGGGATTGAACACTATAGTTAGAAAAAAAAATAATTGGTACAAGGAGAAAAGTATTTTGAAAGTATTTGGAAGTATTTTCCATCGCGACATGTATTTGGGATAATGCAGAATCTTCACAATTGCATTGTAAGAAGGCTAAAAAATATTTAACAATGAGGGTATAACAAAATTTAAATCGAGGAAATAGGATTCATGTTGCAAAGAAGAAAAATATGTTTATAGGCAAATAGTTTCGTTATAACAGTTAAATTATCATCATCAAAATCATGCTACAACATATGCTTACCGACTATTACCAACGGAAAACATAGTATCAAAGGCTAAAGAATACCACCTCCATAGTATATAATGTATCATTGTAATTTTTTTTTCATCTTATCGAACAGTGTAATACAACTAACCTCTTCTTTGGATCTTTATAGTTTAACAAGAAGTTGAATAAATTATTTTTATTCGAAGAAGAAGTTGATGAACTAGCCATTACATAAATTACGTGGTATAATATTACAACTAGAAATATATAAGTAGGGATTAGATAGTGAAAGCTCTTTGTTTAATAACATCAATACCGAACAAATTATGAAGCTAGAAAATTGAAGGCAACGGCACTGCCTTTTTAAAGGCAACATCATCATGTAGAAAATATGAAATGTAAGAAAAGAGTTTCAAAATTTTAAATTTTAAATTTTCAGGCAGCAGC